TCAATGAAAGTAGTTCCAGCAGTTCCGTCAATGAAAGGTGGGGTGAATTGAAGAGAGAGGCCAGGAAGGAGAATATGGTCTTGACACCACGGATGCGAAACTCGACCAGGGCACGCAGCATCTTCCTGCGCGCAATCTCGTATGTGGAACCTTGGCAGGTGCACTTGACCAACATGGAGTCGTAGTAGGGAGTGATGACGGCGCCGGCAAAACCGTTGCCACCATCGAGACGGACACCATTGCCACCGGCAGAGCGGTACACCTCGAGCTTGCCAGTATCGGGCTGGAATCCCTTGGCCGGGTCCTCGGTGGTGATACGGCACTGAATGGCAAAGCCGCGGGTGGAGATGCGGTCCTGGGTGAGACCGAGCTGCTCCAGGGTGGCGCCGGCAGCGATCTGGATCTGAGCGGCGACAATGTCGATGCCAGTGATCTCCTCAGTGATGGTGTGCTCAACCTGGATACGGGGGTTGATCTCGATGAAGTAGTAGCGGTTCTGCTGGTCGACAAGGAACTCAGCGGTACCGGCGTTGCGGTAGTTGACCGACTTGGCCAGCTTGACGGCGTCAGCCAGGATGGCGTCGCGGGTCTCAACGGGGAGGTCCTTGGCGGGAGCGATCTCGACGACCTTCTGATGGCGGCGCTGGACCGAGCAGTCACGCTCGTACAGGTGGACAATGTTGCCATGGTTGTCACCAAGCAGCTGAACCTCGATGTGCTTGGGCTTGTCGAGGAAGCGCTCGACAAAGACGGTTCCGTTGCCGAAAGCGGACTTGGCCTCGGAGGTAGCTCGCTCGAAAGACTCCTTCAGGCTCTCCTGCTCGCGAACGACACGCATGCCACGACCACCACCGCCGTAGGCAGCCTTGATGATGATGGGGAAGCCATATTGATCGGTGAAGGTCTTGACCTCCTCGAAGGTTGCTACGGCACCCTCGGTACCAGGAACGACGGGGACATCGGCGGCGATGGCGAGCTTGCGAGCAGACACCTTGTCACCGAGCGAGTCGATGACAGAA